ACATGGGTTCGAGTCCTGGTCCAGGAAGATCCCACATGCAGCAGAGTAACTAAGCCCGTCTGCCACAACTACTGAGCCTGTGCTCTAGGGGCCACAAGCCACAACTACTGAAGCCCGTGTGTCCTAGAGACCGTGATCCTCAGCAAGAGAAGCCACCACAATGAGAAGCCTGCGCACCACAACGCAGAGTAGACCCCATTCGCTGGAACTAGAGAAAGCCTGTGTGCAGCAACGAAGACCCAACACAGCCATAAATAAATAAATAAACTAACTAAAAAAAAAAAAGGATTGTCATGGCTGACACTTAGAAAATCCTATGTTCAGGGCACTGTGCTAAGTGCTGTATTTGTGTCATCATATTTAATGTTCAGTAGAATCCTTTTAAGTATTATTGTCTTCTCTGTTTCACAGATTAGGAAACAAAGGCACAGAGAATTTAAGTAAACTGACATAGGTCAAATAGCTGTTAACGGTGGAGCTACGGTTAAAGCAATCAGACTGATTCCACAATCCATATTCCTAACCATACATAATACAACACATGGGTCAGGATTAACTGAGCACTAGAGAATTGAAATGGGATTATACAGAATTTGGAGTCCTGTGTGCTCCCTGAAACTCCAACCACCCAATGAGCCTCCTTTTGTCCATGGAATCGAAATTTAGACCTTTGTGTTATAAAGATGTTCTTCTCACGGGACTTCTCTGGTGGTCCAGTGGTTAGGACTCCCTGCTCCCAATACAGGCGGCCCGGGTTTGATCCCTGGGCCGGGAACTAGATCCCGCACGCCACAACTTAAGATCCCACACGAGGCAAAGAAGACCCCATGTGCCGCAACTAAGACCCAGCACAGACAAATAAATAAATAAATTTTTTAAAAGATGTTCTTCTCTTGCTTGAAAATGTTGCTGCACCCTGATCTGAAGCAGTCCTCATGGTGAAAAAGCCAGTCCTCATGGTGAATCCCTCCTTGCTCCACTGGATTCTATAACTAGAGTCAGCTGAAACAAACTCCTCTTGACTTTCAGGATACCATGATGCCATTTTGGTTCTCTCTTATTTCCTCAACCTTTACATATTAGAGTGTCTCACAGCCCTCTTTAGCCCTCTTCCCTTTCCTATCCACGTTCTCTCCCTAAGTGGTCCTAACCAGTTCCCTGCCTAAAAATACCATCTACATGCTGAACCGCAAAGCCACACACCCAAACCCGCACCTAACTTCCTGACACTTCCTTTACGAGGTCCAGCTGGCATCTCAAACCACACTTGTGCAGATCTGAGTTCCTGAAAATCCCTCCCCAAATAGCTCCTCATACAGTCTCCCCAGTTCAGTAAAGGAATTCAACATTTTTTTGCTTACTTGGCCAAAATTCCTGAGGTCCTCTTGGACACCTCTCTTTCTGTTACACCCCCCCATGTGAAGCCTGTTAGCTCCTTTTTCAATATATGTCTAGAATCTGAGACTCTGAACTACCACGACACTGGCCCAGGCCATCATAATTTCTTTACTGAATTATTGCAATAACTTGCTGATGGTCTCCCTAGTCCTGCACTTGGTAAACTTTACTGCCCGCCCCCCCGCTCCAAAACACACTCTAGTCTCATAAGAGCAGCCAGGACAATCCTGATAGATGTACATCATATCATGTCACTCCTTTGCTCAAAACCTTCCCTATAAAGGTTTGAGACTTCCCATCTCAAGCAGAACATAAGCCAAAGTCCTTACTAGGACTTATAAGGCCCTACGTGATCTGGTCCCCGTTACCTTTCAGACTTCGAGTCCTAATTCTTTCCTCTAATTCATTCTGTTCATGGCACATTGGCCTATTTAACATTCCCCTAATTTACAGGCACACTCCCACCCCAGGGCCTTTGCACTTGACATTCCCTCTACCATATATACCTCAGATACACATGTGGCTAACTATCTCATGTCTTTCTTTTTTCACTCAAAACTCACATTCTCTCAATGTGAGCTTTCCTGCTTAAAATGTCACATTTATCCCTCACATTTCCTTCCATGCATTATTTCTCTCCTTAGCTCTTAGAGCCATCAAATATAACATGATACACATTTTGTTTGTCTTGTCTACTGTATGTCTCCTCCACTATAACAAAAGTTTCATGAGGACAGGATTTGTACTCACTCTGTTTCTTATTGTATTTCCACTTCTGAGAATGTACCTGGCATGGGGTTGGCACGTCATAGATAGGTGATGACTTCATAAAGAGATGCTCTACAATGTCGATTACGGAACCAAACCTCACAGTGTGATAAATATATTTATTGAGGACATCTCAACCTTTGAAAGTCAGGCAAAATTGTGTCAAGCCGTGTATCCCGTGTTCTGTGAGAATCTAGTGCCCTCAACAAGATTTCTGAGAACTCCCCGGTGTTAATACCTTCACGGTTACTCTGGATTTGCCTACCTGCCTCCCTGGACTGTTGATGTCATTGGCATTTGATCCCCTATAACTATTCTCCGTCCCCTGCTCTGTGACAAACCGAGACACAGAATGCAACAGCTTTCGCTTCAACACCCCTACAAACGCTGACCCACTGTAATATGTTTAACTTATAATTTGCAATGACAGAAGTGTATTTACGTGGTTTCAAAAAAGTTAACATTTAATATTAAACATCCTCAATCTTTATAATCCTTTGACCTGCCTTCAACACTGTCTCACTGTCCATTTTCCTCCATGGCCGTCTGTCATGCTACTGGGCCATTTCTCTGTTCCTTTCTCCTCAATTCTCTCACTCTTTTCACCATTCTTTTCCTAACATCTGTTCTTTATTTTTTGAGAGAATATTACCTCTCCCTCTATGTACTTTCTTATGATCCATGCCATTGTTTTCACATTATACTAAAAAATAGCTTCTCAAGTTTTATCATCTTATGCAAAAGACAATTTCTCTTCATCACAGGAAATTCAGTGACAGCTTTTAAAAGTCTTTGCATCCAAGAGTCCTGGGCAGTTGAAGCAATGGCAGCTGCCTAAGCAAAATCTCTTCAAACAACGTCCAAACGACAAGAAGAATAAATAACGCCACACAAAACTCACACCTTTGGCATAACTAGAAGACAGACAATCTTATACGCTGCAGATTACCTGTAAGTAGGAAAAGAAACACCAAATTCCAGGAGAGTCAACTTCACACAGAGCAAAGGGGTTCTGAAAAAAATGCACAAGAAAGATAAGATTGACATAAAACCACTCCCGGGGAGACGGGCTGGGGACGCGGCGCCGCGGGCGAGGGCTGACCCGGGATTCCCAGGGTCCCAGGACCGGGGCGAGGCCAGGCGGAGGGCGGGAGGAACGAACCAGAAGCCACCTTTCGCAGAAAGGAACGCCAAAGCCCGAACCAGCCGCCGTCTCTAGAAAGTTCTCCCCAACCCACGTCCTTCGCCGCAGGCCGGCTCCTCCCAGCCTCTTCTCCCCGCCCCCTCCGCGGCGGTGGGACCAATCACTCCCCAGGCCGCCTAAGACCCGCCTCCTGCGCCCGCTGCCCGGGAAACGGCTCGATGACCGCCGCGGGGACCAAGGCTGCCGAGAGTGGGGCTCAGTCGGCCCCGCTGCCCCTCGAGGGGCTGGACCTCAGCACCAAGCAGGATGAGGGCGTGCCTCAGGTCCTCAAGCGAGAGGGCACAGGCACAGGGATGCCCATGATCGGGGACCGAGTCTCTGTCCACTACACGGGCTGGCTGTTCGATGGCAGCAAGTTCGACTCCAGCCTGGACCGCAAGGACAGATTCTCCTTCGACCTGGGGAAAGGGGAAGTCATCAAGGCTTGGGATATTGCTGTAGCGACCACGAAGGAGGGGGAAGTGTGCCACATCCCCTGCAGGCCAGAATACGCCTACAGTTCGGCGGCAGCCCTCCCGAGATCCCTCCCAAGGTCACGCTTGTGTTCCAGGTGGAGTGGCGCCATTGGGGAGGTTGCACTGGAAGGTACTCCCAAGACCAGATCTTTTACCGCCGGGAGGTCGGCAAGGCCGAGAGTGTGGATCTGCCTTGTGGGCTGGAGAAAGTCATTCAGCGCCAGGAAAAAGGAGAACCTTCCATTGCATATCTCAAGCCCAGCTACGCTTTTGGCAGTGTTTGTTGGGAAGGAAAAGTTCCAGATCCCCCCAAATGCTGAGCTGAAGTTTGAAGTATAACTCAAGAGCTTTGGGAAGGCCAGGGAGCCCCAGGAGATGAGTTCAGGGAAGCTGAAGCAGAGCACCCCAGTGAAGGAGCAGGGCACCGTGGACCTCCAGGAAGGCAAGTACAAACAAGCTCTGCTGCGGTGCAAGATCGTGTCCTGGCTGGAATGTGAGTCGGCTTTCTCTAATGAGGACGCACAGAAGACACAGGCCCTGCGGCTGGCCTCGCACCTCAACCTGGCCATGTGTCATCTGAAGCTGCAAGCCTTCTCTGCTGCCGCTGAAAATGGTAACAAGGCCCTGGAACTGGACAGCAACCACGAGAAGGACCCCTTCCACCAGGGAGAGGCCCAGCTGGCAGTGAATGACTTTGACTTGGCACGGGCTGACTTCCAGAAGGTCCTGCAGCTCTACCCAACCACAGAGCTGCCAAGGCCCAGCAGCGGATCCACAAGGAGCTCGAATGGGAGAAGAAGCTCTATGACAACGTATTTGAGAGGCTAGCTGGGGAGGAGAGCAAGGCCAAGGCCACGGTCGCTGCAGGAGACCAGCCGGCTGACACGGAGGTGAAGGACGGGCAGAAGGACCATGTGGCAGGGGGCCAGCCTCAGGTAGAGGCGGAAGTGTGGCCTTGCCCAGCCCGGCTCCCGGCTGCCTGCCCCACTTCTCCCTACCCTACTCCACCCTGTTGGTTCTGTAAAAACTGAAGAATTTTGAGTGAATTCAACTTTTGTTTTTCTAAAAACCAAAAACCAAAAAAGGCACCCCCAAAGAAAGAACGTGTATCCTTAAGTGTGAAAATATTGAAGAAAGAATCCTGATGTTGATGGTAACAGATTCAGTGTATACATTGAATTCAGAAAGTGTCCATGAATCCATATATATATTAATTAATTAATTAAAACTAAACAAATGGGAGGTGGGGGAGGAAGTCTTACTCCTTTAGAATATCAAGTGGTAAATGTGGGAGGAACGATAGAAAAATCACCATTTTGCAACCATTATAATAAAAATTGATTTAAGCAGAAGCTATCGATGAATGCTTAGAGTAGGTGAAAGTTTGGGGAATAAAGGATATTCACATTGCCTTAAAATATTTATTTTCAAATTATGTATTAATTAACCAAGGAGGAAATAGTGACTTGACAGTGGAGAAACCTGGTAGAACCATCACAGCCATATGATTGCAGCCAACACCACCAATAATGGAACAAATGACATCGAGTGCCTCTTGATGTGATGCCCGGAGAAGGACATAATGTCACATCTGTTTGCTTATACAACGTGTATAACCTGAATCTCATCAGAGGAAACCTCAGGGAAACTCAAATTGATGGCCGTTCTCCAAATAATAGGTGCTCTTTGAAACTGCCAGCATTACGAGAGAAAAAGGAAGACTGATGGGTATTATTCCAGATAAAAGGACACTTAAGACACATGACAACTAAGTGTAATTCATAACTCTGGGTATCTTAGGCCAGGAAAAAAACAGTTAGCTGTTATACGACATTACGGGGCTAGTGGATAAAATTTAAATACAGCTCTGGACAAACAAGCACTCTTGTGTATCCTGGCAATAGGACAGCTGTGATTAAAAGAGAAAATAGACTTTTAATATCCTAGAGGAATCTACAATGTAGGAAATCCAGAAATAGATAAGAGTAATTAACTTTGAAAAATTAAAAGGATGGACTGGGGCAGAGGAATAAAAACCCCCAATACTGTATATTTGATGTTGAAGTTTAGGTCTTTTTTCTATTTCAATGAAAAAACCTCATAACGAGATTCAAAAATTGAGAAATCAAATCCTTGTTAATAGTCTTTGTTTTGAAAGTCTTTAGAGTTGGTTTTCGTATTGAACTGTCAGGAAGTTAACTAGCTACCCATCACCTTCAGACACAGTAGCTCTGTTTACATGACCACGGCCAACACGTGAGTCCCAGGATCAGACCATAACATGCCCACAGCTTGTCTTATTTAACTCATCGCCTCAGGGAACACATGGGGAAAAATACACTCTGTACAGGCCAACCATTTTAGCACAAATGCAAAATTGCACAAAACAGAAAAAGTTGCATTTCTTAAGTAGTTTGACTAGCAAATTCCATGGTTCTATGCAAGTCTGGACCATGTTTTTGAAAGAGATGCTTTTGTAGGAAATTTGTTTCTCCTTCACGCGGAGCCTGAAAAAGCTGGCAAACTGCCAAACCAGAAGTTCTGAAGACTCCAAATGCAACCTGTGTCATTTGTATTGATTGTAATCCATAGCGTTTGTGCATGTGGTCATGCCGGTGATTCATAGATAACACTGTGAATCATAACTAAAACTGGAAAAGTAGGCTTTGATTAAGTATGATTTAATCAAATGCAAAAATCACATTTTAGCACCCTGGTATTGTCCTCTACTTAATGTGTTTCCTTCCTCCCCCTCCACTCCTTCCCCTCCCTCTTCCTCTCTCTCCTTTTTATTCTATCAAAGCTCACACTGGGGACTTCCCTGGTGGCGCAGTGGCTAAGAACCTGCCTTCCAGTGCAGGGGACACAGGATCGATCCCTGGTCCAGGAAAATCCCACATGCCACAGAGCAACTAAGCCTGCATGCCACAACTATGGAACCCACGCGCCTAGAGCCCATACTCTGCAACAAGAGAAGCCACCGCAATGAGAAGCCCACGCACCGCAATGAAGAGTAGCCCCCACTCGCCGCAGCTAGAGAAAGTCTGCGTGCAGCAGCAAAGACCCAACGCAGCCATAAATAAATAAATAAATTTATTAAAAAAAAATAGAAATTTAAAGAAGGGCATAGTGGGCTGGGATCCTCAGTGATGTTAGGGCTTGAGCTACAGACCTAAAGAAAACGTAGAACTTGAGTAACAGCAAGGAGCCTTGGAAGTGCAGGAGCCAGGCTAGCATAGACTGGAGTTACAAGGAAGGTGTATGTGTCCTAGTCTGGCGCCACCTGCTGCCAGGACCATGGACAGCGCTTGTAGGCGGTGCTGGAGTCACCGTGTGGGACTTGGTCATTAGTCTCTATCTCTGCCCCACAGGCTTCTAGAACATTGCCGGAAACATAAATACCTCTCCAGCTCCGGAGAAGTATTCGCGCTCCTGGTCAGCAGCCTCTTAGAGAATCTCTTGGACTACAGAACCATCATCATGCATGACGAGAGCAAGGAAAACCGCATGAGCTGTACCGTTAACGTGCTGGTACGTGCCACGCCCCTGGGATGGTGAGAGGGCGCTGCCTGGCCGCCCCTGCACCCCGTGGCGCAGCTCTAAGTAGATCCGGCAGACACAAAGGTCCCCTGGGACCACCTTTCCCGAGTCTGTGTCCTGCTGAGTCTAATTGGAATGGCCAACTCAACTTTGAACTCACAGATGCCAGTTGCCTCAGACCTTGAGGATGAATGTGGAGACAGGGATGGAAAATGCAACATAAGCTCTTGACTCAACTCTCTTACCGAAGGCCATCCTCAGCCTTTTTCTCTGTCTTGTTTCTATGTGGTTGCTTTATTGTTGGGATTATTCGACACAGACGAAAATGCATTAAGAACAATATACCATGAGTAGAGAATTAGTCCGTGAAATCCTCTAGGTGGTAGAACCCTGTGGTCTTGCCTTTGCTTAGACAGTTTTAACTGGGAACACAGACCTCAGAGGTTTAGGCTGCCATAACACTCCTCTTCCTATAAATCAAGAACCTACCACCTCTGATTCCCTGAGAAAACAGAATTTATCAGGTGACTTGGGTATGACCCAGCTGTTTATTCACCTAGAAGGTTCCCTCGCATTTCCCAGAAGCATGGTCCTAAAAGAATTCAACTTTTCTGCTTTATAAATTGTCACTTCCTTATTTTGTTGGGGGTATTTGTTAAAGGGAAAGAAGAAAGTCTTTGGAAAAGTGACACTTTAAAAGTGCAAGTAGTAGTTTGTCCATTTTTGTGGCAAGCTCTTCAATAATGGCTTTGTGTTGGTATTTTGTGACTTTTTTTGTAGAATTTTTACAAAGAAAAGAAGAGAGAGGACATCTACATAAGGTAAGCTGAAAGAAATTTCTGCTTTTGCTGTTTATGTCAGGGCTTTACGATTTATTTCTCCAATAAATGAAAACAATAAGCCCCGACACCGTGCTTGCTGCTTTGAGAGACACCAGAAAGTATGTGATATGCTCCCTTCTTCCTAAAAGGGTAAATGCTTTAGACAGATACACAAGTAAGTACAATACGAGGAAGTGTAGAGGGAGGATCGTGTTGGGATTCCAGGAAAGGTTAGAGGGCTGTGGCCAGGTAACCAGGGAAAACAGCACAGGAAAGACGTGAAAGTTACCCTCTGTCAAGGACTGTTAGCCCGATGTGCAGGAAGCCCTGAACGTGAAACCAACTTGGATGTAAACTATGTGCATTTTCCTGGGGAAACATTCCTTAGCTCTCATGAGCTTCCCAAAGGGGTCTGTGACGTTAAAAAATTTTCTTAAACATCACTGCCTTAAACGAAGAGTACAGAGANNAGTACAGAGTAGCCCAGGTAGAGTAGGAAAGACACACAGGCAGGACGCAGCACAAAGACTTAAGGAACAGGAAGTAACTATTCCTGCCGCCTGGCTGTGGCATGAGCCAAATGTACCATCAACTCCCTGGCAACAGAATGCCTCCTTTCTCCAATTCCGACCAGATACTTGTACAAGCTGCGGGATTTGCACCGGGACTGTGAGAACTACACCGAAGCTGCCTACACACTCCTCCTACATGCTGAGCTCCTGCAGGTAAGTGGATCAGGTATGCGGTATGTCAGCCGTCCAGCCCTTTGGGACCGCATCCTGTGTGATTTTGATGGGAAAGTTCCCTACTCAAGGAGGACCCTTTTATCCAAGAGTGTTTTTATACCTTCTAAATAGGCACAGCTAGTTTTTAGACCAAGGTTGGGAAATTTTCCATTATTATTTATTTACTTACTTACTTTTAAATTTATTTTATTGAATTATAGTTGACTGATAGTGTTGTGTTAATTTCTGCTGT